TAAATTTCTTCAATTTTGGACCATCACTTATTAACTGGATCAACCTTTTTCAAAAAAATATACGCTCTGCAGTTAACATAGGAGGGAACTTATCCATTTTTTTCACTATCGAGCGTGGATGCCGTCAGGGGGACCCTGTTTCTTCATATATTTTTATCTTATGTGCTGAAATTTTATCGATTCTGTTAAGAAATAATTCTGATATCAGCGGTATTGTTGTAAATAACAGAGAAATTCTTTTATCACAGTTTGCTGATGATACGTCTGTTATCCTTGACGGTTCAGAAAAATCTTTAAATGTAACGCTACAACAACTTAACTATTATGCCAGAATTTCAGGTCTTAAAATGAATTTCACCAAGACCCAGGTAATCTGGATAGGCAGTGAAAAATATAGTAATAATAAATATACAACAGAGCACAATCTTTTGTGGGGAAGTACACGTTTTAATTTGCTAGGCATTGAATATGATGTTGATTTACATAGAGTAGTTAAATTAAACTTTGATAAGAAACTTGTTAAACTTAAATCTCTCATAAGTTCGTGGAATAGAAGAAATCTCACTCCAATAGGTAAGATAACCATTATTAAAACATTGCTAATTTCACAATTTAATCATCTTTTTATAGCTCTTCCAAACCCACATGACTCTTATATAAAAAAAGTAAATAACATATTATACAAATTTTTGTGGTGCGGAAAAACTGATAAAGTTAAACGTGATGTTATAATTAAGTCATACGAACATGGTGGTTTGAAAATGATTCATTTAAAATCTTTCATAACAGCACTAAAGGCAACGTGGGTACGGAGGATCTATAAAGAAGATGCTAGTTGGACTTTAATTCCTGAAAACTACATGGATAAGTTCTCTTTAGCTAATTGTGGAATTCATAAATTAAAAATTACATGTGAAGAATGTAAAAATAAATTTTGGAAACACGTTTTAGAAGCATGGTATCAAACAATAGTGTCGTCCAATTTATATAGTGAAAAAATATGTGAAAATCCTTTGTGGTATAATCACAATATCCAAACAAACAATAAGACTGTTTTCTGTAAAGAGTGGTATAGAAAAGGAGTGCTTTTTATATATGATGTAATTAAAGAAGATGGTTCTTTTTATAATTTTGTAGAATTTCAACATAGATATGATATAAGGTCCAATTTTTTAACTTTTCATAGTATAATTAGTGCTATAAAACAGTTTATAAATAGTAAACAAGAAATCTTTGCTTTAGAAAAGAGTATTTGTTTACCTAATATACCTTTAAATCTTAATATTATATTAAGGAGGACTAAAGGGGCACAGGATATTTATGCTGTTTTATGCCGAAATGATACAAAACCCACGTCACAAAGGAAATGGTCTACGGTTTTTAACATTCAGGACAAATTATGGATAAAGATTTATGCATGTCCTTTTAAAACTACTGAAAGTACTAAATTAAGATGGCTTCAATACCGAATTAACCATAGAATCTTAACTACAAACACACTCCTACAAAAAATGGGAATAAAACAAAATTCAACTTGTACTTTTTGTAAAAGATTTCCAGAAACAATTGAACATCTATTTTGGGATTGTGGTAAAGTATGTGAAATTTTGAGAGAACTAAAACAATTGCTTGCAACCAGTAATATTGATTTGAATTTTGACAAACAGGAATTTATATTTGGACAATTCAGTTCAAAGGATGCTGATTTGATAGTGGATAATCTTATCCTATTATTGATTAAACAATACATTTTTAAAATGAAATGCCTAGAAATAGAACTTAATATAACAAGTTTAAAGAATCACATTCTTTTTGAACTTAAATCTCATAAGATATTGATAATTAAGCATAAAAACTGCAAAAATAATATAGTCTTGCTTAATAAAGTAGAAAAATGGCTTCTCTTATAAAATAATGTGAACAATTATCATTATACTATAAAGAAAAGTTTGCAATCCCCCCCTCCCCCCTGCGAGTGTGTATGTGTACTGTGTGTACTGTGTGTACAGTATATAATTAGTCTCTTGTAAAGAGGTGTCCGTTGTGAAGGGAATTGTAATCAATGTAATGTTTGCTTGTTGCTTTGTGTGTAAATGTGTTGTTTATAAAAAAGAAAAACTGAATAAAAAAAAAATAATAAAAAAAAATAAAAATCTTATTTGAGATAATAAGTTCATTAGAGTAAGTCAAATAGTGAGTACACGACAATCATATGGTATATACCGTGTACGCCAATCGTATACACGTTTAAAATACACGACAGCCCTGTTATCGTGTTCCTTTCCGGACCTTCCCAGATAATATTTAGGTCACGTTTGTATATATACCTCGCATTGGTTGTGGTGTATTTGCATATCCAGAATGTAGTGAGGAGAGATAACGCGTCATACGACTAGTTAGGACTGTCCATAGTGTACGAGAGCAAGACTGGTAACAGTAAGTTTTGATCGTTTGATCAGATTTAACAAATTGAATGGTTCTCATGTGTTAATTTGGGAAAAGAAATGATAACGTATACACTGTATAAAGATAATAAAGACAACAATACAAAATTAGTCTTGTGAAGATTTTATTTTTATTGATATCAAAGTTATGCCAAACGAGGTCATCTTATAAATACATATTTTGGCATTGTAAGTAATTATCTGTGTTTTGCGAATTATATATTTTTTCATGATTATACATAACAGGACTAAGTAAATATGTTCCTACTTGAGCGTCATGTTGATATATATGGCTGAGTTAAGATGGCCGACAGCGGACTGCCAAAACGTTGCTTGACTAATTATTTTAGTTGTAATAGGTACAAAAAATGCCGTTACTAACGGCTGTTTCTACTTGATGTTGTAACATATTTAGGTACAAACAGTCGTTAGTCAAACAACGTTTTGACAGTCTGCTGTCAGCCATCGTACCGAGTGTATCATGTTTGCCTGGATTGAGGGTAATTCTAGGCAAATATCCCTGTATTCCTTGATTTGACTGTAAACATCGTTATTAGTGTGCCAATAATAGAACCATTATGATTAAGCTAAATCTTTTCATCAGAATATTTTTTTCAGCACGTTGTTAGCGTTATATTCAATACAATATTCCATGCGACTGATTACATGCCAAAAGTACATTTAAGAAGTCCAGTGCTGTCTCTCTAAGATTCGGGAATATTATGGACATGGATCTACCTTTTGATTTTGAAAACAATGCATTCTATATTCGATAAGGCCAAAAACAAAATATGTGTGTATCAGGTATTCTGACCTACCCTATAATTTACTGCCGACCCTTAATATTTTATCACCTATTTGTATCTAAGATGAATTCATTAGCCAGAAAAAGTGCACAGCCACTCATTAAAATGTACTTTCTTCCTGTTCTTGGAGTCTGACCTTATTTTTAACAAATTAGTAACCATTGTAATGTGTGGAAATGCATTGTAAGATTTGAAATAAAGCATAATATCAATTCACGACAATAGAAAATTAAAATTAAAATTAAATTATTTGCCGACCGACCTAGCTTATGTTTGCAGGCATGTTACCTGTAATAAATATATACATTTTTTGGCCTAACATACAAATTATTCGTCAAATCTCGTCTTTTGTCTTTGTATAAATTGAAACTTCCAAGAAGTCTGTTGATGTTTTGTAGTGTTTTTGTCTGAAGGTCCAGCGAAACCTAATTTCATCTAGCACCAAAGTGTATAAATCACACCTAACCAAAATAAAACAATACCGTTAACACAATAAACTTAAACGTCAACACAAGAACTAAACAATACTCGATGTTTGAATAAAAAATAAACTGAAAACAAACCCGAATGAAAGACAACACGAATACACATTAAGCCTGGAGAGGAATTCAGGTTCGATTATGTTATTTAGTTTCTGGTTTCCTCGATAATATTGAATCGATTACACAATTTCGTTTATATTTCAGAATAAGAATATACAACATAATCAAGACAAAATGCTTATATGTCATACTGGGTTTTACAGTATATGTAAATGAAAAAATGAAAGAGAAAATAAGAATGAAAAAGCATATATTTAAGGGAACAGTTGAATTGGTAAAACATGTATTCACTTTCACAGATAAATACATTAATAACAAGTCTATGGTTTACCCAATAAGTGCTCAAGGATGAAAAAAGTACTCACAGAATCGATCGCGAACATCCGTCGTTTGCTCTTCCGGTCACTTCCTGCTATTTTTCGTTTAAGCATAACGTTCGCTATGCCCTTTTTGTCTCACAATACGTTCATTTGCCAAAGTTTTGCCGGTTATTTTGAATAAATTTAAACAAGAAAAACAATCCCATAAAGAAAAGAAAAGGACCCCCGTCCCGTACTACTACCAACAAGTGTAAATACGCGTTGGAATCTGTTTATGTAGCTTTGATAAATCATTTCTAAAAAGATGAATAGACAATTAAGACCGTGATGACCCTGCTGCTCCACGTCTTGATATACAATATGAGATGGGGGTTGGAAGAACATGGAATCTGCATCGTCATTTACTGTTACTGTCAGTTATTTATGTCCACATATAGCTAAAAGATGTCGACATCTGGTCTGAAAACTGGAATGAAAGGGTCCCGAATAAACGCTTATTACCTCCGTCAACTGAAGATTCTGAACTGAGTCAAATTATACTTACATCTCGAAGATCTCTCGATGTTGCAATTCACTACAGAGTATGTCACATTACACTTCAAATACTGTCACGGGTATGTTTTTCAATGATATTTTGATAGATGACATCATGCACAGACTTTCTCTCCATTATCATTATGTCATCTGACTGCATTTCACGCATAATAGCCTTACCTTACCATGCAACATTTTTTTTAACGTCGATTACATCTAATACAGTTATGCATCGTGAGGTTTTACACATTTACAAATTGCACCAGTTCTTTTAAACATCTGTTGCCCAGGGCAATTATCATATGCGTATACATATATATAAGCAATGCGTAGTATAAACATCACTTATCACAATGCAGCCTAGGAGAAAGACTTGTGTTACAACACTAGTGATACTGACGATATGTGTCATAATCAATCTACAGATTAATGTTTTTACGTTAAATAAGTCTCTGAACAATAACCATAATCACACCAGAAACGCCACCATGGAATTAACGTTTCCTGCAAGGACATCAAAGACAACGCTCCAGATCGTGACTTCAATACCCGAGTATGACAAAGAGATGTCTTTTAACAACTTCTCCTATCCGCTGGACGTAGATATGGTGAAATTGATACAGGAATACAGTCTTACAGGGCAGGTTGAACAACGTGCTATCAATAACTTCACACAACGTTTCCTTCACAATCCAGTCAACAGGTGTTACATTACTGCAGGAGGGGATAATACTCATACAGGTGACATATTTCTGCTGTTCGTTGTGAAATCGAAGAATGATCACTTCGATCAGAGGAATGCAATTCGAGAAACATGGGGTAATGAACTCTATTTAAAGAAATTTATCATAAAAACGGTATTTATATTAGGAACTCCTGTGAATGAATCTCTGAAACCAATTTGGAGTGAAATTAAACAATTTAATGACATTATTTTAATGGATTTTCATGATACGTATTTCAACAATACATTAAAAACATCTACATCGTTTAACTGGGTACCAGAATTCTGTCCACAAGCCCGATTTGTTGTTCTGGTTGACGATGACATCTACGTATCATTGGAAACTCTGGTCAGGTACCTTGATCAGTTACCGTTGAGCAAGCGCTTCCAACTGTATATGGGACAGACTTATATAGTATATAAACCACACCGCAACTCTACCAGTAAGTGGTATGTCCCGGTGTCTGAGTATCCATGGGACGCCTATCCATCTTTCATTTCGGCGGGTACAGTGATTATGACAATGGACTTTGTAAAGGACGTACGGATTGCCATGCGTTATACTGAACTGTTCAGACTGGACGATATTTACCTGGCAATATTGGCATATAAACTAGATGTGGTCCCTGTTACCAATAAAAACGTCTATGGGTACCAGGTTATGTTTGGAAGCACAAAATATTCTGATCTTTTAACTTCACACGGATTTACACCACAGCAACTGAAACTATTCTGGAATGCGCATGTCCGGACTATACAATGAGATTGAGTTCAAAACACAGCAAGATGTATATGTGGTTTTGTGTTATTATGTTTAACGTCATGTAAATACGTGTGTAATGTATGCGTGCTTGAGGCAGCAGATGTTACTGTAAATCAAGAAGAACCACACGTACGCATTTGAGTTTCGAATAAATCTGCTATGAATCAACCTGTCATGGATCTTTATCTGACGTCCTACGTTTTATGCGGATGAATACTTCGACTAATATGTAGTAAAGAACTATTTTAAATTACAATAAGCTGGCTTTCAATTTCTAACATAAAAACACTAATGGCATAAAATCGATAAGCCAATTTTTCGAATGAATGCATCGAAGAATGTGCATAGCCACTCACGTGGATGTGGATGTCTGTATGATCTGTTCAGACTGGACAATATTTACCTGGCAATATAGGCATATAAACTAGGCGTGGTCCCTGTTACCAATAAGAATGTCTATGGTTACAGAGTGACGCTTAGAAACAAAGCATTCTCTAATCTTCTCACCCCACACGGATTTTCACCATTGGAGCTTAAACTAACGTGGAAAGCATATATTCTTGCAAAAAGAGCAACCACACAGTAGTTAATAAGAGGTATGTTGTAAATAAAAAACCACATAGTAATTACACTGTATATGACTTTATGTGCCCTCGAGTATTTGTGCAGAGGTACACATGCACGGGTCGGTACAATACTCTTTTTGATATGTGCAGCTGTACGTTCACCATGTGCTTTTTATGACGTCAGATGAACATTGACGTGTAATATCAATTCTATACCTGTGAATTCAATATGCATATTTTAATCATTTTTGCAAGAATATTTTCATGATAATTCCGTACGGATATCCAATTTGTTTCTCCGAAAAAAATAAGGTAGAAAACGGAGTTAAAAGACGTGACGTCACCATAGCATTAAATGCCGCTGAAACATTTGGGACCTTTTACTGTTTTAGTTTGTCGATTATATTATCAGTGAATAATGATTGACGAGTTTCAGTCAAAAAACGTTCTTGTTACCAAGGTAAGACAAAATATTGTATTGACACAATATATAATACAGCTCCTCGTATTCTGAGTGCTGGCAAACTTGTTGGTAACACCCTGGATGTAACTTACTTAGTCAATCATATGAATAAAACATCACGTTACAATGCTTTGCGACGTCATGATTCCATTGTGACGTCATGATTCCATTGTGACGTCATTATTCCAATGTGACGTCATTATTCCATTGTGACGTCATGATTCATGGCGATAGAAAATACTGATAATGCATTTCCAAGGTAAACAAATGGTTTTACTAGAAACTTATTGAACCTTATGCGAGAAAGATGTCCTCAAACTCATGATGGCTGGTAAACATTGTGGCCTAACTGTTATTAGTTATTTTTTTCAAATTGTAAAAGTCGCCCGGTCAATTACATGTCTACATTTTGAAAATTAGCTAAATTGAATTATAATAAACAGCAAAACCAACCATTACTAGTGATGGAACCGCTATATATAGCATAATCACAAGATGATATATTGAAACATTGTGACATTTGTCTAAAACTTTATTTTAGGTAGGAAACACGAACTATTTACATTTTTGTCAAGTTTTGTCATACCGATGATATATGTATTTAGTCCTCTGTACTGCATGCTATCCTGATATGTTTCCCTGGCAGTCATTCAGATCCGTTTGTGTCGTTATAGGAGAGCCACAGGACAAAATACAGATAGCATGCCTTTAAATTGGTGTTCGGTAATTGTGTACACATTTAATGGAAGTTTCGTATGACTATTTAAAACATGTTTTCCTGGCATGTGGTGGGAGCTTTTAAAATAAATATTAAAGTTTGTCTCTAAATGCTCGCTGTTGTGAGGTGTGTAACATTACGTCTATACATGTCAACCTTCATTATTATATAGTAAACGTGTCGCAATAATATATTAGGTTTGTACTATTCTTGATATACATATTGTTTATATTAGTGAATGACAACAACAAACTGCCCATTGTATAGGTTATCAGTAATGTAACGATAACAAACAATGATTTTGTCCATATAATTAAAAGATAATATAATTTTATAATTTATAGTATATTATGAAAGGAATTGAAAAGTTTAAAAGAAACGTCCTTTTATATTTTACTCATCAAAGTGTCTTGTTGTTTCGTTGTTACTACCCTGTCTCTCACTGTAAGAGCGTGACACTACTAGTATACGACCTATATTTATATAAGTGATACTGTCGACGCAGAAGAAGACACATTCCTTCTTTAGAACATGATCTTATCCTTAATAAAACGTTTTTTTAAGTAAATATCTTAATTGTTCATAATTTACTATACACTGTAGTTTCAACGATTTTTGTTTGTTTGAATAACGGCTTTGATTATATTTAGGTAATATTTGGTTATTGTCATGGTTGTATTTTACACTTAATGATCGCTGTCTGTCTTTTTATCGACCGATTATCATCTCTAGTAATTATGATCGAGAACAGAAATTGTAAACAGATATATAAACAATTGCAGCTGTTACCAATTTGAACAAAAAAGACATACAAATTCATAATAATGCAAGTATTGATAAGTCACAATAGTTCAATAAACTCAGCAATAAAACATACAGCTTTTGTATTGATTATATCTTGTTGGCTAAAAAAGTGTGTATACGATTTGTAGGATATTTCTAAGCATTGCCTTTAGCTTGGAAAGTATGAATAGTAGAAAGAGTATGTATCGTTACCAGTAAGCGTTCATGTGTGACGTCTCGGTGAAAAGTACGATACCTACCCTGTCACCGCCTATGGGATAATCTTTTCGCATGACTGGCGAGACCGAATCATAATAAAGAATTTGACAACGCGTTAAAAGCTCAAATAGAGAACGAAGTGGTGAGAATAGTTGAAATAACAGATGATACTGCGTGTATCACCTTACCCGAAAACATCACAAATATTGAAGTTAAACGCGCTATTAAGGGTATGAAATCAGGGAAATCTCCTGGCCATAACAGTATTGTAATCGCACATTGAAAATATGCAGGCAAAAAACTTGTTCATTTTTTAACAACTAAATTGTTTGTTTAATACCATTGTTGTGAAAGAGAGATATCCAATACATTTCAAAACAAGGGATTGTAACAACGTTGTTTAAAGGTGGCATACAAAATAAAATGGATGTTTATAGCGATCGTGACACTGACATCGGTAAAACTGTTAATAGGATTTTGCGAAAGTAAGAAGACATCGGGTTGTCTACACCACTACAGCAAGTCTTTCGGTCTGGCTGTGGTAGCATTACCGCGGGTTTTATTATAAAGAAAGTATACATCATATTGAATGTGGATCTAAGGTATTTGTTGAATTCCTAGACAATCAAAAGACATTTAACTTGGTTTGGATCGATGTATTATTTTTTAAGCTGTCACGATTACGTCGTCATTTGCAAGTGATAAATGCATTTTATTACAAATGGAAAAGGTTAAAAAGTCATTTACTTCGATGATAGGATTAGGAATCCACAACAACGGAATGTCTCCAGCGCTAAATGTTACTATTTGGAAGAATATCGTTTTTCGGTCACTGACATACGGATGCAAACGTTTGAACAATATTCGTCTGTCAGTAAAATGGAGAGATATTGAAATACCTCAAAGAAAAGTAGCAACTGGAGGGCAAGAATTCCAATATGACTCACCTTCGTGTGTTACATTTTCTTTAGTAGGTCTATTGGCAATACAGGCATATGTGGACAAGTGTAAATTTATTTTTGGAATCGTCTGAACAGAGGAGATGCAAAATATATATGAAAAAAGGTCCTGAATGTCCGTATGTGTGACTTCAAGGTCAAAGAAAGTGTCGTATCTGGCTTCATTACCGATATTGTAAGAATTCATGAAAAGTACAACTTTAACAGACACTTCAAGGATTTTCTTTTATTATAGAGATCTTTTTGGAAATACAAGCTGGAGAAATTTCGTTATCAATGTTATCTACTACATTGTCCCACCAAGATGGGAAATGGGTGACTGAACTGATTGAATGGAATTAACTCTGCATCTACTCAGACATCCAAACGAATTTGACGTGACATCCACCATGGGATCTTGGCGAACAAAATCCGTCTTATATTTGGAAACTAGCAAAAATGATAAAGCTATCATTTCAGAATGTAAATGATATAGTTACATGTAAATTGTGTGGTTAACAAGGAAGTAATGTCATAGTTCATTTTTAAATACAGTGTAACAAACTATACGAGACGATATATTCTATATTTGACAACGTGGTAAATATATTCGGTTCAACAAACTATATACAGATATCTGAATTGGAGGAAACTGACATTGCAAATATAATACTAGGCTATCGGAGTTGTTTCGTAATAGAGGAGGATGCATTGGATCACTTCATGCTTAAAAACAGCGTCAGCATTGCTGCTATGACAAAATGTTTAGTTTAAAGATGATAATAGTTATATCATACAACATTTATATAGCGCCCTATATATTTTCTAAAATGACTCTAAAGCGCTTTACAACGTATGGCTAATAGTACTAGATACAACTGTGAAACAAAAACAAAGGCTGACAATCACTTTTATACATTAAAGGAAGCATGTGATTAGCTGTTTAGCCGACTGCCTGCGGTAATAATTATAATATATATGACAAAATAACTACTATTTACGATTAAAGTAAGATATCTGTAAATGTTTGAATGTATGTATATATTTTTATAATCTTCATGTACAAAATATTGCTATGTATACGAAATGACGAATAATACCGACAACTCGATTTGGTTACGCTTTGTTTAACACCTGGTTGTAGATATTTGAGAGTCTTTGAGCCCCCTCGTCTCGAATCATAACTGTCCCACAGCGGCATGTATCCAGAAGCATTCCTTTATCTGCCGCCTGAACAGATTGCTCTCTGTCCAATATCCCAATCAAATACATGATTTTGCCGCAGTGCATGGTCTGTGATTGCCGATTTATTGATCTAGGACCCCGACTGTTCTAGACTGATCTAGAACTTCTCACCTTCTATGGTTTCCGTATCTTTTCGAAATTCATTAAGTCAGACCCTTAATCGCCGACCGGTTTCTCTGACGTAGGATAATCCACAGTACTTGCACTATAATTTGTGCACACATTCTGCTACGTTTTCTTTAGGTTTTCTTTTCTCTTAGTGTGTATAAGGATATTGCGAATCGTCTCGACGGAATTCATTGTTCTGATATTCCATGGATGGTTTTGGATACTCAATTTATATACGGGATTACGACCTGATCTTTCATTTTGTACTTCATGTAAATATGCTCTTGTACCACCGATTTTCCGGGTACTCTTCAAGTAGCTCTTCTAAGGGGGTTAGAGGTGTGATCATACACCACACTGTCGTAATTATGCTGTAATGAAATAGTAAATGTGTTAAAACTGTACCAGGTAATCCAATTCGGCAAATCAGTTTATTGCCTTGATGGTTTTCCCACCTGTGCATCTTACCTGTGATTGCTTGTAGCTATAGAAGTTGAACTGAGTCGGGGACAAAGATAAGTTAGGCTCTGATTGAGGCTTGACTGTAGACTACATGTGTCTTTCGGAAAAGGACATCATGTCTTCATTCGTTGACTGTATTTTATTTCCGTGTCACATGTCAATATCGCATTACAACAGTTTTTAGGTCCCCCCTAATCAGCACTATACATAATATTCTGCAGGTTGATTTTGCATTCATTTATGTAAACAAAAATACCATACGTCACGTTACCTTGTACTGCCTTCAAAATATACATATTAGGTAGACCGGTAAGGAGCCCGGGCGGTTACCTGGTCTGTCCGTCATCTTATTGCGAGAGAAACTGGTCATAGATGACTACACACATTACATCATATGAACGTACACAAATAGGGTTATGTGCAACTCGAGTCTGGATCCGTCGTGTAGGGTTCAGGCTCCCGGTAATACAATTCAGGATCATGTATCTAATGTGTAGACCGACGGAATAATCGACAAATATATATAATCTACGTCCGGTTCACAGTAATGTCATCTCATACAGATATTTACTTCCATTCTCCATTTATTATTAGGGCATTTGTTTTATTTCATATCAATTGATTCAAATATGATATACAAATGGTATCCGAACGCCACCATTCTGAATAACACTTTCTAATACTGGTAATATAAAAGGGAATAGCAAATCTTAATAAGCTGTCAGTTTTGTTGTTATAGCAAATTCACATGTGTTCATGTATATATGAGAACGCCACATTTTTCTTAATGTTCCGTAGTCTTAATTTTCATTGTTGTAGGGAAGCTTTCCTCATGGTTAAGGTAATTATGACCCACAAGTATATATCACGGCTTTACACAAAATGTTGGTGTACACATACATGTACAAGGCACTCAATGGAACAGCTCCCCATACCTACAGGAGCTTGTAACCCTGTATCAGCCGTCACGGTCACTGCGATCGGAGTCAGAATCATTGTTGTGTTCCAAAATCTCGTACTGTGACGTATGGAAATCGGTGCTTTGGAAGGGTTTCGGCCACGTTGTGGAATAGCTTACCATCTGCTATAAGAAAGTCAAATACCCTGGCCAAATTCAAAAAGGACATCAAAACTCACCTGTTCACGTCTGCATTTAAGGCTCATTGCAAAGACGTCATGCAATACCACCCTTTATTTGTTCATTTGCTTAATTATAAAAGTGATTGTTAGCCTTTGTTTTTGTTTCACAATTATAACTAATACTATTATCCATATGTTTTATAGTAATTTATAGTAATTTTACAAATTATAAAGGGTTATATGTAAATCTTGTCTATTATTATTATTATAATATAAGTTGTAAAACCTTTGCGCAACAAGTTTTGATGATTGAGTTCGTAACATAACAAAACGAATAATATTTTCAACTAACACTTTTGGGGTTTTACAGAGTCACCTATGTTCTTCTATTTACCAGTTCGTTGTTTGTTGTTGTTTCTTAGTTGAATATACTGGTATCACTTACTGTCATATATTTTTAATATTTATTTCCACTGTCGTATTTTTGTTTGTTTTTGGATTTATTTTGTAAGTGAAGGTTTTTGTGTGTATAAATCGTACACACAGGAAAACACGTAAACCTCAAACAAGGGATTTCACTTATCATTTCTAAGGTTTCATAGGCCAATCTTTTTGTTGTAGAAAATTTCTGAATATGATTTCGATATCAGACTTTGTCAGATTTGTTCAAAATTCTGTCGATGTTTATACTGAACAAAACGTGTAAGTCTTTTGTGCGATATATTTAATTATGCATTGTAAATTTGCTTGATTTACACTAAGACGTATAAATGCCACTTACTTACTTTTTCTCAAGTATATCATGTACAGATTTTTTTTGTCTACGACTAGCTGTAATCTTTGAAGATACATTATGTAAACCACACTATACTTCAGCTATTTGAACGTACCGAACGAATCATGCATTACACTGATTCATGGACTCAACCATCTTTCGTCTAAAACGGTTGTAAAATACCGTTTTCTCAAAGACATTTCCGCTGTACATATTCCGTAAAGGTTCCTCTATGAAGCACAGGTAAATTACGGTGAGCGTAAGCGAGACTACGCGGACCCAGTCGCAGCGACGCTCGAGGACATCCGACCTTGATGGATCTATCATCGCGATCCCTGATGACTGATCAAGCGACGAGAATCATCGCGGGGTGCGATGATGCCGTTACCAAGATCCCTGATGGGGTTTTTGGGTGATCGGTCGCGGTGATTGAACGCTTAAACGAATTCCTTGACGCGATGACATCGCAAATTATTCGTGATGGCTATGACGTGTACTGAAATAGTATCTTAAAATTCTTAAAAAGTCTTTATTTTTTCATTTCATGAATATCTTTCGCAGCCTTACATTCAAAATTAGACAAAATTAGATCATCATATGATCAGGTAATTTAAACTATTGTAATATTTTCGTAATGTCAGCTTAAATAATGATAATGACTAATTTTTATAACTGTGTCTTATATACTGTCACAGCCTTTGTGAGCCGTAGCTTTCTGCTCCATTCGAGACCCCTGTCCAAACGATAGAGTAGGTATTTGGTTATGAGTAGGTTTTCCTGCATAGTGCTGTTTAGTTATAATTGTTGGTAATACCTATTACTTTTATACTTATTGGTAATGCCTATTACTGGGTTGATTGGTAAAGTGTAATGACATCTAGGTAGAAATTTTAATACTTTTGAGGTACATGTAAGCCCGAGGGCGGACACTTTTCTTGAATAGGAGTTGTCTTTCTTGTTATGTAATTGTGAATTAATGTCACATAACATTACTGTGTTGTATTTGTTAATTTATTTTAGGGCTTTTTCACCCCTGTACTGAATACAATATCGAAAACCCTAAATAAAACTGTTTCTTCTTTTTGTCGTACGCGACAGTTGGTTTCATGTACGTCGACTACATTTAAAGTAATTGAAGTTACGGAATGCATCGTTCAACATTGTCATTACATTCCGTCGTTTGTATACACTATCAGTAATTTACAAAAAACAGCTTTCAAGCGCTATTTGACATAGGTTTCTATATATAGATCGCCGAGTGGTGTACTCACCACTTATCAAAATGCGGCCTAGGAGGAAGGATGGTCTCAAATTTCTAGTAATCCTTACAGTGTATGTTATAATATGGCTAAATATTGGTTGTTTTACGTCAAACAGGGTTCTTAACGATAACAAAATTCAAATAAGGAATACTGATTCGGATTTAGCGTTTACTGAAAAGATACAAAGGACATCATGGAAAACGCTTCAGAACGTGAGTACTGAACAAATACAAAGGACATCGCGGACAACGCTCCAGAACGTGACTAAAATAACAGCGTACGACAAAGAGTTACCTTTTCACAATTTTTCCTACCCGTTGGACGTAGATATGGTGAACTTGATACAAGGCTATAAAAGTACTGGGCATGTGAGGCAACGTGCTATAAATAACTTCACGCAACGCTTTCTTCACAATCCAGTCAACAGGTGCTTTATTACTACGGGAACGGATAATAATCATACAGGTGACATATTTCTGCTGTTCGTTGTGAAATCGAAGAATGATCACTTCGATCAGAGGAATGCAATTCGAGAAACATGGGGTAATGAACGCTATTTAAGGAAATTTATCATAAAAACGGTATTTATATTAGGAACTCCTGTTAATGAATCTCTTGAATCTCTGAATCCAATTTGGAAAGAAATTAAACAATTCAATGACATTATTTTAATGGATTTTCATGATACGTATTTCAACAATACATTAAAAACGTCTACATCGTTTAACTGGGTACCGGAATTCTGTCCACAAGCCCGATTTGTTGTTCTGGTTGACGATGACATCTACGTATCATTGGAAACACTGGTCATCTACCTTGAACATTTACCGTTGAGAAAGCACGCCCAACTGTATATGGGACAGACTTATATGGGTTATAAACCACACCGCAACTCTACCAGTAAGTGGTATGTCCCGGTGTCTGAGTATCCATGGGACGCCTATCCATCTTTCATTTCGGCGGGTACAGTGATTATGACAATGGACTTTGTAAAGGACGTACGGATTGCCATGCGTTATACTAAACTGTTCAGACTGGACGATATTTACCTGGCAATATTGGCATATAAACTAGGTGTGGTCCCTGTTACCAATAAAAACGTCTACGGGTACCAGGTTATGTTTGGAAGCACAAAATATTCTGATCTTTTAACTTCACACGGATTTACACCACAGCAACTGAAACTATTCTGGAATGCGCATGTCCGGACTATACAATGAGATTGAGTTCAAAACACAGCAAGATGTATATGTGGTTTTGTGTTATTATGTTTAACGTCATGTAAATACGTGTGTAATGTATGCGTGCTTGAGGCAGCAGATGTTACTGTAAATCAAGAAGAACCACACGTACGCATTTGAGTTTCGAATAAATCTGCTATGAATCAACCTGTCATGGATCTTTATCTGACGTCCTACGTTTTATGCGGATGAATACTTCGACTAATATGTAGTAAAGAACTATTTTAAATTACAATAAGCTGGCTTTCAATTTCTAACATAAAAACACTAATGGCATAAAATCGATAAGCCAATTTTTCGAATGAATGCATCGAAGAATGTGCATAGCCACTCACGTGGATGTGGATGTCTGTATGATCAATGAATGCTATGTGTGTGATATCAGATTTCTGGCATACCAACACGTGATTAAGATGCATTTTATATTTCATATTTTACCTGAAAGTGTTGTATTAAGAAATATTAAACTTGCTTCCCGAAAACATTTACCTTATCACATTCGATAAAGATTAGCCAAGAAGAGTTCTGACTGTCAGAGTAAGACAATTCTTGTGTTATCACATTGTGTACTACAAGGTGTCTCGTTAGTATCACCTTTACACTGGGAACATTACTAAGATTAGACATATGAAGTCTGCTTCTGCTGGTCAATGCTTTACGAAATATGTTAAACATTATATCAAATGTAACCCATAATAGTATATTTCAAAACAGCATCATTCGTCAGAAAAAAAAAAGTTAATTAGAAATATGAAATATATTCATCTGTTTGTCCTTACGGTCGTTTCAGTTACAAATTATATGAGGTAGACATACCGATTTGTATGTGTTGTTATCGAAAAGCAAAATAACTTTACCACTGTTAAATGTAAACAGACACAGCACATACATTAAAAAAACTGTTAACAATATGTAAATGTCATGAATTGGAGGTTTTCTTTCATTTAGAAACGTTTTTGTCTTAATGTCAATGGGGTAGTGTAAGTTGACAGTTAATATTTATGAGTTCACAATATACCACAATCGTCATAAAGAACAATTATTTTGTCGGTAGCTATGTAAACAGTGAGGTCCCGCATGTCTAATCAATCATCAATGCCCGGCAAAAAATTGGGGCATTTAAAAAAGCGCTGAATCGTTTTTTCTTCTATTTTTAGATAATTTAAAGTCAAACTCCTTAAGCAATCAGCTGAAGAAAAGAAACTTTAGATTTTTGTATACAAACGTTATATGATATTTGCCAGCAGGAAGTATGATGTGTAGTGGGAACAGCCAGTGTTAAAGTCATATTGATGATATTAATCACTTGACTTCTCAACTCTGTACTTGTCCATAATTCATACCAAACATACATATTCTGTATTATAATAAGAGTGTCAAGCATCCAGCTCCGAACTTTTATTAAGTACAAGTTGCTTAAAAAATAACAAAAGCATGAGAATGATTTAATTTATTAGTTAAAAATTCATTACTGAGTTTGATGGAAAGTTGCAGACTATCAGATAACACGGGAAACAATCGACGGCCCTCTTTGGACTGTTTTTTGTTTTCATAAGTGGTTGCTTTTATATAAGAGCTTATTCAGAACCAGCACAAAACCTTGCAAATCCTCCAACTAATCCTGTGATATATTAATGATGTCTTGTCTTAATGACAAAATATTAATTGACCATGTCGAACGTATTTATCCACTTGAAATTGCACCGCTAACCATTTGATTTTCCTGTTGTGAACTTTCTCTTTTATCCCTGCATCCTACATATCACGTGTTTTCAAATTTTTACCTGTTTCAGCTGATTTCATATCCTGGTACTTGCTCCAAATATAATGATTTTCCTCATTAATGACGATGGCTGATAGATAAACTTCCAAGATGAATAGATATAAAGAGGATATGTAATGGTTTCAAGTTGCAAACTATACATTTCTTTCACGGGTATTGCAGAATATCGATATCTTATATATATTTATGTGTGGTATTTAACGGGAAAACCATTAACTTTTATTTTTATCAAATTTACTAGCACGACGCAAAAAATTGTTGCATCTTAAAAAAAATACAGGAATTAGTAGCATACTGTGTGATGCTACATTCTAATGACGCCACGCTTGATAACAAGGAAGAGTCACATTTTGAAAGTAACGCGACATTACTCTAATATGACAAAGTTTAACATAAATGGGGCTAACGGTGCAGCAGAAGACACATGTAATATTTATCACCTGTTTTTAATGTCCTTGTAGTTTTCCTATGGCCTCTGTTAAAATGTTGCTTTCGTGAAGATAATCTATAATTTTTAAAGTCACCATTTTAATCACATTGGCAACTTTGTTGTGTGTTGTGAAGGTCGATGTCCCTTGTTATGCTCAATGGTGTACCTCGTTGCTTTGTTACCGCTGATAATGTTTTCACCAGGAGGATGTGACACTATATTGATCAGACCTAGATTTACAAGGTAGGTATCGTCGATGAAACAGAAGACGCCCAAACTACCGAAACACCTAGTCTTACTTCCATTGTTCTTTTTCTACGGTCTCCATAAATATCACGCCTTTGTTCCTATTTTACCATAGACTCGATTCGGAGATTTAACTTCAGTTTTGTTTATACTTTCTAATTTTCTTGTTGTTTATAAGGTTTTGATTTTACTTATGACCGCTCTGTAGCTCGGTCTGTCTCACCACCAATCAGTCTAACTCTAACAAAATTTATCAAGAACAGAAAATATAACAAGACAAATACAATAGCAGCTGTTACGGTTTGCTAAAAAAATGACGTACACTTACATAATTATGCAAGTATCAATACGTCACACATGTTCAATAAACTCAGTTTTAATGGAATAACTGTTAGACAACATTTAATATACAACTTTTTCATTGACTATATCTTGTGGGCTTAAACGTTGCTTCGGTCAATTGCTAGTGTTTATTAATTGATATGATGGCTTGATGACGTATGTGAATACATGTAGTTCAATATTTATTAAGCAGTCGTTATAAGAAAAGTCTTTATATGATATGTAGGATATTAGATTTGACAACGCGGTATTTATAGTCAAAATCTTTATAGATATTTGTGGTTTCAAAAACAACATTAAAATTGATATGATTTCATTCAAAATCTATGTAAATGAAAAATACATGATCATTATATTATTAACTTGAGACATTATATTTTAAAAATGAAAGACATAAACGTGACAAAGTTCAGTTAAGTTTTGTTATTAAGTTCAGACATGAATTACGTTTATGTACGATAATCATGGGAATGGAAAGATAGAAAGTAATAAAAGAATGCAAGAGGCTCCTGTTCTGTCATGAACAGTGTTAGCTTTTGTATATGTGTTATGTGGTTTTGTGTTATTATTCGTCTTGGTAATAGATATACCGTATGTCTTCGGAGATATACGCCATGACCATGAATATTTTTTTGCATATCCCTATGCACAAAACTATGAATGAGTGGAGTTGAATGTAAAGTACACGGCATCTTACATTAGGTAGCTCTGTCCGACATACACAGCTATGGGAGAATATGTTTACAGTGTATTAAGGAACAGTACATAACATAGAAACCTCCGAAACATGAGCCATATAAAATATCCAGGGGACACCATAAGATTACCATTTACTTATATAAAGTTACGTCAAAATAATTCTCTTAAATACTATAGCTTCACTGAAACATACTGCTGTAAAGACATGTTTGTCAATATAAGTGTGGACGTCGCTGTTTGTTAGGTAGGGTCTATGAGAGTTCCTGTAGTATGCGTTTATATTCGCACGTCATCCGTAACGAGGCCGGTTTAACTGATTCATCCGTCAAAAGGTAAAACACAGTTATCGCCATACAAATTTCATCACGCATGTTTTACAGTACTAAGATAACCACGATTTGCCTTATACTAACACTGTTATATCAAGTAACCTTGGCTCTATTTACGTGCAGGTACACAAAGCAAGCACCTGTAGATAAGGATTGAGTCATATCAACGTTTTATTTTGTACACAAATAATGTACGTATTAAACGTGTCGCAATATTTCGAGACCGACTGGTCACTTTGTCGGTAACTGGTCCCTTGACATAACAGTGGAGGGGGCTAGATCTACACATTACCTGTAACATATCTGATGCAGTTTGTATACGCTCCCTATAGATAGGCGCAACGTACCAGGTCGGGTGACAAAAACATATTCAATTTCGTCACATCGTTGTACAGGTAGAAAATACAGTCATAGATTGACAAAGGGACCGGTCGGTCTTAAAACGTTACAACACGATATCACATATTTCCAAACTGATTAATCGTATAGATGGATTGAGTAAATCCCAAATGACGATAGGAGTGTTTTGATAACTTTGACCTTTCATAAAAAGTCTCTTGTTAGTATAACAGTGAACACTAGCGTGCGGTAGCCATGTGTGGTATTTGTATATAACGAGAAACCCCTGTAATACTCAATGTATCAAAATTAAAAAAAAAATATATTTATCAGTACTAAAATAGGCACACATATGATAAATTGGACTATGTGACCTTCATAATTGTCCAAAAACAAAAACAAATGGATTGAGACTACACTTTTGGCCCATTTACAAAGCTGTGTCACTTAACAAGGGCTAGTTTTTAATATAGTATATTTTGTTCTCAACACATGTTTAATTATTGTGAAAAAAATCAACCTAATTGACTTATGCTAATGTGTGAGTATTTCTGTTACCAAGATGGTGATATCTATTCAAAGACGGGTTTTAAGAAAATAATTTCTATCTGCAGGGATCAAGTTTTGGGTTAAAAATAAGAATGTTTTTGTTTGTTTTATTTTAGAAATATTATTAAACAAATTATTTCAATTTATATTAATCACTCGTGTTGGCCCCGATGTTAGCGCGCGGGGGTCTTAATGTAGGAGGAAACCGGAGTACCCGGAGAAAACCCACGTGGTCGGGCAGGTGATCCCAACTTTTTAACGTCATATCAGGGAATCGAACCCCGGCCGCCTTAGGCAATAGGCTAGTGCGCTATCAACTGTACCACCCGACCACCCAATTGTACACACATTCTGCTTCGTTTTATTTAGTTGTTCTAGTCGGAGCATCAACTTTCTATAAAATGGGGAAAGAATAGAAATTTCAAGTAGTTTTGTTTTATTTGACCATAATTTTTTTATTTATTCTCGATGCTATCAATTTGTTTGAACATTACTTATCAAACCACGATGAACACACTGATTATTAGAAAAAGGTATTGGAGGCTTTGCATTCAGGGATCCTAGTTTTGGTGAAGATAAGTTTCCAGTGAGGGACCTACTCTAATTGCGACGAGTAAAAAGTATATAGCAGACCAGACATGAATGAATCAGTTTGTATTAATATTTAAATCTGACTTGGCCTAAATGTCAAACAAATTGATAATATCTATTTTGAAAAGTTTTACACTTTTAAACGAGTCGAAGTTTCTCTCTCTCTCTCTCTCTCTCTCTCTCTCTCTCTCTCTCTCTCTCTCTCTCTCTCTCTAAATAAAATATTAGAAATGAAAACTACATGATTTATACAAGTATGCATCATAGCATAATCAAAATGTCACACGATATACTACTTTTCTTAAGCATATATATATATTTTTTTATAAGGTATCAAACTTTTGTGACGTCGATCACATGAAAAGTAACTAAAATTACGAAATATATTGTTTAAAATTGTCAATAAATTACGTCTTTTGTATACACTGCCAGCTGACATAGGCGTCTATATATAGAGAGCGCCGCGTGCTAAACAGACTACTTATCACAATGCGGACTAGGAAAAATGCTTGTGCATTCATACTAGCGATACTGACAATATGTATAATAATAAGGCTACAGATTGGTGATGTTACGTCAAAAAGGTCATTGAATGATTGCAATATTCAAATAAGGAACACTTATAGGAAATTAGCGGCTACTGAAACAACACGAAGGACATCACGGACAACGCTCCAGATCGTGACTTCAATACCCGAGTATGACAAAGAGTTGTCTTTTAACAACTTTTCCTACCCGTTGGACGTAGATATGGTGAAATTGATACAGGACTTTAAACGTACTGGGAAGGTAAGGCAACGTGCTATCAATAACTTCACACAACGTTTCCTTCACAATCCAGTCAACAGGTGTTACAATACTGCAGGAGGGGATAATACTCATACAGGTGACATATTTCTGCTGTTCGTTGTGAAATCGAAGAATGATCACTTCGATCAGAGGGATGCGATTCGAGAAACATGGGGTAATGAACTCTATTTAAAGAAATTTATCATAAAAACGGTATTTATATTAGGAACTCCTGTGAATGAATCTCTGAAACCAACTTGGAGTGAAATTAAAGAATTTAATGACATTATTTTAATGGATTTTCATGATACGTATTTCAACAATACATTAAAAACATCTACATCGTTTAACTGGGTACCGGAATTCTGTCCACAAGCCCAATTTGTTGTTCTGGTTGACGATGACATCTACGTATCATTGGAAACACTGGTCATGTACCTTGATCGGTTACCGGAGGGTAATAGAGTCAATCTTTATGCAGGCAGAGCATTCCTAAATGTCAATCCTTACCGCAACACTACCAGTAAGTGGTATGTCCCGGTATCTGAGTATCCATGGAATACCTATCCACCTTTTGTTACGGCAGGAACAGTGATAATGACCATGGACTTTGTGTCAGACGTGCGGATAGCCATGCGTTATACCAAACCGTTTCGTCTGGATGATATCTACGTAGCCCTCATAGCTCACAGTCTAGGTGTTGTCCCTCTTACCGTCAATACTACATATGGACATCCTGTCATGTGGTGGCACAGAGAATTCAAAGATGTGATATCAACACATGGATATACACCTAAGCAATTAAGATTTGCATGGACAAAACGCAAATCGATGAAGATTACGTAGGTACTTGCACAAAATTCAACAGATATGGAAAATAGTACTAGTAAAACTGTAATCCTTGCTCGTTTATGCAAAACCGTTGACGAAATTGCAGTGTATAAAGAAAATTAGTTGTTCCCGTTTACAAATTATATTTACTACTTACCACTACTGTAAAAGTAGTTATATTTATTTTCTTGACAAATCGTCCAAGGTAATTGGTCATCGGCTTTATCTTTATGTCACAGAAAAAAAGTTAACAAACATAAACTGTAACAGCCGACCATGATATGACAAATATTGTAGTGTATGTACGAATTTTAATCGTGATATCGTATCATGCAAATAATGGAAAATTCGTTTTATGCTTGTAAAATAAAATTGATCAAGAAATAACGAATGTGCGTAAATTATGATGGAATATAAATATAAAACGAGGGTGAGAAAATGTTGGAACAATAATAAACGAGTTGATTATTTTTCAAATATTTTCGAAGCCTGAAATATAATATTCCACCACAAAATGCAAATATATGTTGATTATATATATTCTACCAAGTCAAATGTAACGAAAGTATTTTTCATGTCTACTTCAATGTCCATATAACTTTGACAAGCAAGGTGATCTGGTAAATCTAATCATTTAAATTAGGCTGGTTTTTTGCGCGCGCTTACACATGTCTCGAGGTGTCTGCCTGTCTTCATTTCACAAGCTGCGCGTAGTTATCATGTATGGTCCTCTGGGCAGTTGTCCTATTTCGTCTTTTAACTTGGATTTTTTAGTGAGGATTTTTGTTTTATTTTCAGTCGCCATTCGGTCGACAGACAATAAACACTGACGTCAAGAGTAATGCCAGGTGTTCATTGCAATCAATCAAATCCACCAATCTATCGACATCGCTCGTCAAATGGTGAAATCATCATTTGACAGATTTCAAGTCACCTTCGTGGTAAGTTCAGCGGAACATTATGACCATAAGTTTGTCAAGATTTCAATAGATCTAGCTGTTAAATTGATCTTTTTTGTTTGTCAACTAGCAAAACTTACACACATTCGACAAATGACACTAGTCCCACGACTTGCATGTTTACCGGTAGATAAGCGGGAGAAGTTTTTGGAAGAGGATTGATCTGTTGGAAAATAATACAGGCACACGCATGGTCTGTCGCCCAATAATCCATGGTTATCAACCGATGAAAAGTTTTGTTTAATCGCACGCGTGGTAGCCTGATAACTAAAGTCAAACTCGATACACTGTTTGTGATATAATCCCGCAATAATATTGATATGAGTAGCATGTGTTTCATTCAGGATATAGGTGATCAATAGCCAACAAGCGAAGGGCCAAATGTGTGCAGACATAACAAAAACAAGCTAAGCTGTGTCCAATTGTTCACCGTAGTTATCATTTTTCAAAGCAGCTGCTTTATGCAAGATTTTTGTTGGCCATCTAGATTTGTTTATAGACGGCCCTCACGTATAAATATCATTATCAACTATATATAGTACTTAAAATCACCTACCGGTAGCATGATAAGTTCATTATCATGGGTTGTCAGTATGAGAACACTGAAGACGAAGTTAAGACCGATTTGAAAACAACTTGAGAACAACTTGAGAACGGATTTTCCTTATTTCTGGCAATCGGGAACGGATTTTCTCAAAAAAAGAACGCCTGCTCGTGCCAGGTGACGTTCTAAACCGGAAGTGATATCCACACAAAAAGTGATCAGCGTATATCAATTTAAAGTTACGAAAAAATATTTTGATGTTCATAACATCATTTCAGGCGAAACAGTGCATATGAAAAAGCCAATGACGATAGGATTGTTTTAAAGTTATTTTTTCTACATAGTTTTAAGGTTCATTCTGTTCCTCCACGCAAATCTTTTATTTGTTTACGTTTGTCACAGACAGATGATTTGCGATCGTTGACCATTGAGCTTAAATGTCATTTGGAAAACATGGTGCTTAGTTACTTTTTTAAATGGAGAACTATATAAGGTAGTAGTATTTAGATGATGAACAGTTTATCACACAATATTTTCAGTGTTTGTCGTGTGATAGCAAGGATTCGATGCAGACTTTATAGTGCTATCTCATTGAAATACCATGCCGAAGGCACCCAGCACAGCATTCCGTCCGGTTACATTATACCGACAACAGGTGAACCAGTAACAAGGTTATTTACTCTGCTGATGGGCTATTAGTTCCCGAGGTTGTCCGTAACTTTGTAGCTTGTATGTATACCGTTGGGTTAAAATCATCCTTGATACTCAAGGGGTTATACTCACTTTCGTACTTTGCGCCCATGGAATATGTCATAGACAAATAGAAGGCTCGGTGTGTGCCACCTTTTGTATAAGACAAGAAAACTAGTTTGATACTTTGACGCACCTCAAAAGAATATCGCGGTCGTGTAACGGTAACAGATGACTGGCTTTGAAATCGGTAGTCGCTCCTTTGTAATTTTTAAAAGACTGGTATAAGACTAGCGATTGATCAGGGTTTTTTTTACCTGTTTTTGCAAAATTTTAGTTAGGTTTTAGATTGTTTAACGTCCTAACAACAGCTGATGTCATTTAAGGACGTGCCTCCATGTATGTTGTGTAAGTGTGCATGTGTGTTTGTGTGCTGGAGACAGAACATGTTAGTGTGTTTGCCTCACTGTGATTGCGCGGATCTGCAGCTGGCTTTATAGTGCTATCTGTATGAAATACCATGCCGAAGGCACCAAGCACAACATTCCGCCCGGTCACATTATACTGCCCATAATGTTAGCATTAAGCAGGGAATAACAACTACCATTTCATTGGTATGTCCCGGTCAAGGTCTTTGGTATGTCCTGGCCTGGGGACAAAACCCTTTGCCTTCCTCACCTGGGTGAACGCTCAACATTAAAGCCAAAGGTAAGGTATTGCAAAGTAAGGCTTTAGGAAATGAAATAATGTAGAAGTAGAAAGAAATATTGTGATCCCGAGTATTGCAAAGGGGGAAGCAGATTTATTTTGGTCGCTTTTGAGTCCCCTTGTAGAGGATACAAAAGCAAATCCCTAATGTTGCAAAAAGAAACATTTGTAACGTTACATAGTGTTGTATAGCCACTTTACTCTTTTCACTTCATTCTACATATGATTCGAAATGGGAAACATAAATGTCCATTATGACTTGTAGCATCACTGATGAATCCTTAATAGACCAAAAATGTCCGTAAAAAGCAATGAATGTTTACTTTATATTACTTTCTGTATTTACAAATAAAATGTTCAAGTGAATATTATGTTATTGTTTTCTAAATTAATCATTTCTTGCACTGTACCTGAGTTACCAATCGAGAAAACAAATACAGTTTTCACTCTGGTAAAATATTATACTGTTTGTAGCGCGTTTTGTTATTTCATGATCTAGGAATAAAAGCAGTTTTGATATCATTCGTTAGACAGCAGCCATTATTAAGATGGATTGTAGAGTCATCAAACATATAATTAACTGAATCATAGAGTCATCTTAACCATGATGGGAGGTAATTGATAGGCAAGATAAATATAAGTTGACCAAGCACGGATCCCTGTGGAACACAAGATAAATTATTGTTGACCAAGTGGAACACCACTTGCAATGAGTTGTTCATAAATTGTTTCATTTAATACATTTCATGATTGGATCGGAAAAAATCTGTAACATGTCATTGAGGTTTTTTTCATTCCTTTTAATTTATGTTAAAAAACTCCAGTTAAAATAGTAACGTTAAATTCATCAGCAGTAGTGCATATGACTTTTAGGAGACTACACTTAATGTTAATTTTGAAAATATGGCGGTGTAAATGGGGTCTATTATATATATTTAATATCTGCCTTTAAATACCGAAATAGTTATGAGGTTTTCGGTTAGGTGATTATGAACACCAGTTATTAGTTACGTAACAGGATTGGGAAAATGCACGGCCAAACCGGGGTTCGAGCCTGGGACCCTCCGAACTCTAGACGACGCTGCTCTACCAATTAAGCTACCAGGTCGCCGACGATCGACCCAGTCTAGTTCCGCTACAGTTACACAAAAGAAATTATTTTGCAACCCCTCCCACTCTACCGTGACTTGCGTCTACTTACATTTCTTGCCCTTGCTGTAGGGAAACAAAGGATCGTGTTTACATATCACAAAACAAATAAATGTTCTATTGTATCGAAATAAGGCAATAACATGAAAGAAAAGATGATCTAGTTGACTTTCAATTCCAGCCGTCTGCTTCAGTCACCCGGAACTCAATTGCAGCTGCTATTGCAATATTCTAGAGAGGCTCCGAAAAGTGAAATATGAACGGGGGAACTTGAGCGCGAGTGGGCGACATGATGTTTTATTTAACGGTTATGCGATGAATACAATCAAACCAAACACGATGTTATATGAGTGAGGTAAAATAATACGTAAAATCGATATTAACCTGCTTATTGTATACAATTTACACGCCATACCATATGCCCATTTTCATTCCGGGAATTTAATTTAGCTTGTTTACATGCAAATTTGAAGTTACATACGTAATACTATCACCACCTCTGTATTGGAATATGAAATTCTACAGTGTAAGGGATAACTGGGTGTATAAAAGTACATCTGCAACAAACATAAAAAAAAAATTTACTGAGCACAACGTAAATATTTTAAGCATTGATGACCTTGAACGGGAATGAAAACAAACAGTCAAACTCACAAGACCTAAGCATTTTTTGCATTGGAATATTTACTGTAACACAGACGGTACAGTTCAACATCGATTTGGAGTATTTACAATAACAGAGCCACGTCATGACAGGGTTTTTTTCAAGTTATTTACTGTAATACAATATCACCTACGTATGTCAATAAAGTGTTCAATTGTTAATAGTTAACGATGTCACCAAAGGTTATAATGTAAACACTTCGTCTACCTTCTTAGATTATTTACTTAAAAAATGCAAATAGTGTACCAGAAAGAGTTAACAATATCAAAACCCACTTAAAAACGAAGTTTAAAGTAAACAAGAAATAGAGAAGGAGCATTGGCGTCTCCTTGACGCACACCTACAAATGTGTGAATCATTCAGAGCCTAAGACAGCCATATTTTATGAACGGTCAGAAATTTAAATGTGTTTCACACATCTGCACATGCCCATCAATGCTCATGTGATGCTTACTAAGTATCCGGCTAGTAGTCTCTGCGAAGAAGAAGAAGAAGAAGAAGAAGAAGAAGAAGAAGAAGAAGAAGAAACACAGCAAAAGCGCTATCAACTGTGAGCTGATACTTTTTTCTGATTGGTTGTTTTTTGGTTGCTTTTTGTAGCTTTAATAAAAATGTAAATTTTCCTCAAGTGGTATATTCTTTGTTTTAACATGTCAATAGTTATCTCCCTTCGCCAAATCATACGCAATGTTAATCTGGTCAACTTCATCGGCAAATGAAACGGGTTACATTTAGAAGGTGCATCGATTCGAACTTGAGTAGGATTTGAAATATATGGATATGAACGTGGACAACATGAACATGATTGTATACATCCAAGCTAAGGATTGGTACCGGGGCAGGGTAATGTTGTTTTCACTTTTTCTCTCGAAATTTTGAAACGTTTACTCAAGGCGTCAACTTACTAACCCAAAAGTATTTTATACAAGGAAAATAAAATACTGTTACCACCGTGGCGGAATAACCCATAAAGAAATATGCACGATATCTTGCTGTAATATGGGGAGTTAAAGATGTATGCTACCTTACTATATCGTTTACCTCGTTCCAAAACGATTTTTCACTATGTTTACGTAAGATATCATTAAAATCGTATTTTAACCATGCTCTACGTTATATAACCAATTATATTTTTATTTTATTATTTATAACTTTTGTATACGTGTATTATAGTATGTGACTGTTTATACTAATGCAACTATTTAAAATCCTATATAAGTATCTATAGCCGTATACAAGTTTTAATAATTTTATATAACGATGTACACCTTTAACTTCCCTTTTCCACCCGCAGGATATTATTGCATTTTTTTAAAAACAACATTTTTATTTTTTTAAATATGTTGAGAATGATGTTTTGTTGGTCTGGTATTTAGCAGTGATGTGCCATTGGTGTTTTTATACCTTGTACTCAGCGCATCACTGTAGTATGTTAACCAATACTGATTTAATTATATCTTTAAACAAATACGAAACTAAACAATTTGCATATGATGTTTGCATCTTGCTCTTGTTAAATGTACACATTTGGTCGTTTTATAATGGTAGTTTCCAATGCTGTGTCTCTTAATATCTAAAACCTTTTGCAGTAAGGCATTTCTTTTGTATTCATGCATGTTGGAAGACACGAGAACACAAATCACTATCGACTGTATTATCAAAGTAAACGAACCTGATTATAACTGTATCCTTCAGGTTGGTATTTGTGATCTGAAGTAGGAGCAGTGATGGTCAAGAGGTAAAGGCGTCTGACAATCTACTGCCACGAGCCCTTCACCACTGGGTCGTGGGTTCGAAGCCTACGTGGGGCAGTCGCCAGGTGCATGTACTGGCTGTAGGTCGGTGTTTTTTTACTCCGAAAATTCCGGCTTTCCTCCACTATCAAAACCTGACACGTCCTTAAATGAAAGGACGTAAAACACAAACACACGAAACAAAAGTGATATCAATTTAAATTGTATCATAAGTACCAATGTTGGTATTTCAGAATTGAGGATTATATTTTGGATATGCATTAACTGATTTGCAAGCTTGCGTAAGTTGATACACAAATTGATTGTGACTTCAAAAATGCTATCACCACAATGACAACATTTGTAATACGATCCTGTTAAAATGCTTATTATTCCATTTTTTTGGTGAATTA